TCGGTTATTGATCCCTCATATACTTTGGGAGTGGTGTTGTTCAACAGTTACCTAAATATGCACTCTCTCCCAAGTTATGCACACTAAATAGGCACAACTAATTGAGGATCCTATCAATTAACTACAACAAGAACGTAGTTGAGCAAATAGAGATTAAACTGGGCAAATTATATTAACATAACAAGAAGTTCATCCTTCAATAGGTTCCATCAATTATTCATAATGAGTAATTGCAATAATAAAGAAAAGATAGAAGAACTCTAATGTTTTGTTACTCTTCTCACACTTGTTCTTGCCTCCAAAGTTGTCTAAAAACAAGTTTAATTCTGCCTTGGGCGAGCTTCTAGAGTTTATAAGAGTTTGGAAGAAGTTTTCCCTGAATTACACTTTGGTCCCCAAATTTTCTGGCGAGTGAATAGTTCACTGCGGTCGTGGCAAGACCGCGGCTCGACCGCGGTGAACGCCGAACATTCTGCCTCGAGTACTTGATCTGTCGCGGTCGTGGTGGAATTCACTCAGTCCATTTTTTGCTTCTTTATGCTCGGGTACTTCTTGGTTGGGCGTTTTCTTCACATTATTGACTCCAAAACACTCTGTAGTGCTTCCTCACTTAGATTATTCCCTGCGAAGCAAAAGAACACCATTTAGAGTATTTTGTTATCAATTCGCCTATAAAACAACAATAAAGCATGGTAATATTAAGGTGTAAATATCATCTATATAGCCTAATATCAACACCCCACACTTAAATCATTGCTAGTCCTCTAGAAATCCACCACACTCTATCAAAGTTCCTCCCCTAAACTTTTCCCTTAACGACTCACACCTTGAACAATTTACCAAAGTTGCACCTAGTAGTGAACAACCCTTGCCTCAACAGTCGAATCTCTCGTACCATGCAATATTCGCACTTACTCAAACTACTCTATACAGAAGTCAAGACTTACCTTTCCTTTATGAATCACATGTCCTCACATCACACAAGAGAGTGATACAAACACTTAGGAACTCAAATGGACAAAATTCGCTCACTCTCCAAAAGAACATTCACACGCCACAAAGATGTACCATAGGCTTGCCCTTAGTGTAATACTAGACTAATTGAGCCTATCCAGTCTAAGATCAATTAGGACTTCATTTGGTTGTAATGTAGGCTAAGGGATGGGTAGGATATATTTGGATATAGTGACTAGCCTCCCTAAGCACTTTTAATACACAACACATTAACATTCCATATCATTCTTATGTCAACCAGACATACCCCACAATTCATTTATAACAACCCATTCTTTTAGGTGCATTTGCCTCAAGCTACCACTTATCAACTACTATATTTATTTATTATTTTTTTGTGGCACGTCTTCTTTTATTCTTCAAAACTACACCTTTCCTCTATTTCATTGGCTCCACTCAAAATCAAACCACCACCCCACACTTTAACTTTTGCATATGTCAAGGCCATTCAAGTGCTCCTGAGAGGTAAACGGGTTCAAGCAGAAGAATATTCAAACAATTGGGTAAGGATCGCAATGTGGTTGCCAAAGAAACAGGCTTATAGGCTCAACGTGGTTAACTAAGATGTATTACATTCAGGTGGGTTTACGTTATATATATCTGGCTTAACAAAGAAATGCCTATATCACTTCTAAGACTGAATGAAGCTACTATTTCTCTATGCAAACACACTGGGAAAGTTCTAGGCATCAAATGTAAAGCATAGAATACAGTATAGCTCACACACACATGGCATATGACTCACTCCGGATTGATTTATCAAGACATTCTCTTTTGAGTGTTCAAGTAAGCTACAAACATACAACTTTAAGGCACTTTAGCAAGAGTCAACCATTGAGACTAGGCATTACACTCTAGTTTCGATTGTGTTCAGGTGTATACATGCCAAGGGATTCTCTTTCTATTCAGTTCGTAGCCCATTAATGCTAAATAAAACTAAAAACAAAACAAAAAAAAACTACCTACACCCCGTTCAAGTTAAACTCTTGGAAAAGAACCGTGACCCAAAGAAAAACCAAGAGGGAGTTACTACACTACCTACAAATAAAATAAAAAATCTTTTTGAGATTTTCTCTAGGCTAACTTCCCCCAAGAACTGTCTCAAATATCCGTCATCAGGAAGAGTCCTTATATATTTTTTTTTTGTTCGACTTAGGTCCCTCAAGAGACCTGTTGAAAGGTGTCTGTTGTTGGGCCAAGACAAAGTTAATTACATGATCCTACCCTACTAATCAATCAAAAGTAAAGCAACAAAAATAAAGCAACACCATACAAAGTTACACAATATCTTTACAATAACATCATACAATAACAGCCACCCCCCCACTTAAAAATATGGCATGTCCCCATGTCAACAAATAAAGAGCAGAGTAAGGAGGGGGACTTCCCTGAAGATCAATCCTGATCAGAGATGGTACCGGGATCGAGATGACATGCTCGTCCTAGAGCTCGAAGCCATCCCATAATCTTCTTCTCCGACTTTGCCTGCTGAGTGATCAGAGTCTCAACTCTGGTGCCCAAGTCTGTGACAGAAGTGCGGAGACTATCCATATCCTACTACAGGGCTATCATGCGGGTACTACGGTGGGGCTGTAAAGGGCCCACCTCATCAACTCTTGTAGATGGTGGGATCTCAGCTGCCTTAGCATCATCATCATCAGATTCATCATCCGATTCATCAACATTCACCACCGGCTCTATCCCAATTCTGATTTTTCTTGCAAGGAACGGGGCTCTCAATGGCAATTTCCCATCAACTCTAGGGTCTTCAAGGACTCTAGCAAGACGGCACAACCTGGTGACTAGAGAAGGGAAGTAGAAGCCTTTAAGTAACTCGGGTGATCTAATGAGCATCTCGTCATGGAGGAGCCGAGCCATATCAAAATCCCTGTGGGCCATGAAATAATAGATCGCTGCCGCCCGTGGTAGATTAACATCGGTCGTATTGGTGGAGGGTAACAACCGACTATTGATAATGGTGAGCCAACACTTAGCCTCCCAATTAAGAGACTGGGAGTTAAGTGTAATCCGGTGCTTTATCCATATGTACTCTCTGTCTGGCACACAGATAGTCTCAAGAAGAGTTCCCCACAAGGCACATGTTCGGCTAAATGTACGATAGTCATCAGCTTCCCCCCTGAACACTAGCAACCGGTACACCCTGCGGATGGCCTCGATGGATGCATTTACCCGTGTATTGCATACAGTAACAACTCCATTCTCATGTTCCGGGCAGTTAGCATAGAACTCCCTTACGATCTGAACATTGGCCTCCTTCGGTACCTCGAAGAAAATGTCCAGCTGACACCTCCTCAACTCATTGAAGATATTCGGGCATTCCACCTCTAAGGCTTTTCAGTCAATATTCACCTCATGTAGCAATTTCTTTGCTGCCTTTGCATTGTACCTATCCTCCGCCGGTTTGGAGACAAACCTGGTGTTGTCAAACTGTGGTGCACTGGCTTGACCCCTAGCCCTCGAGGAGCTTCCC